TGTGCTGAATGAATCGAGTATCAACAATGCCTATTCCGATGAGATGGCAGTTGTGCTACTGCTGCTGCAGTGAACATAGGCGCCAAAAAGGGAAAGATTTAATTTTTCAGCGGTTTAGGAAACAAATTCTGTTCAACACTGCTTTATTTTAGGAGTACATCGATTGTACAAGTACTCCTTATGTAAGGTAAATTAGAGGGGATGCAGGGGGCCCGAGGGCCTAAGGGCCCACTGCTCGTACTCGGTGAGCAACAACAACTTGGCGTTTTTTTCCAATTTTCGAACTAAGTTACACTTGTGCACTAATAAAACATCACATTTTCTTTTAGCATGCTTTACTTTTTTTCACAACCAACTTTTGAGTCACACTTGTTCAAGACCTGTTCTGTGATACCATAGCATGACCAGCAAAGGTAGCGTCAACAAGAAGGAGTCGAAAGGCAACAACTCTAAAAGCAGCAAATCGCGTCGCAGTAATGAGGTGAACAGCACCGCCGACAAGTTTGGCATTTGGAGCACTGTAACGCGAGTGTTTCTCGCCTTCCTCGTCGTAGTCAGTAAGTTATTTTCCGGCATTTTCAGCCTTCTTGAGTCTAAAGCATAACCCCGTTTTTGCAGTACTGATTCTTCTCATTGTCTGGCTGATTCATTGCATGAGCGGGAACAGTCCACGCTGCACCGTCTTTGACTGGCTCATCACCTTCATGTGCATGGGCATTCTGATCTACGGTCTGTGGGGCATCTACGCGGAGGCCTTTTGGTCGATCACCAGCTTGGCGCTGAACCTTNCATTTTCAGCCTTCTTGAGTCTAAAGCATAACCCCGTTTTTGCAGTACTGATTCTTCTCATTGTCTGGCTGATTCATTGCATGAGCGGGAACAGTCCACGCTGCACCGTCTTTGACTGGCTCTTCACCTTCATGTGCATGGGCATTCTGATCTACGGTCTGTGGGGCATCTACGCGGAGGCCTTTTGGTCGATCACCAGCTTGGCGCTGAACCTTTTTGTCTGGGCCATTTTCATACTGATTAACGGCTGGGTCGTCGAAGGTCTGCTCGGCCTCTTCACCGCCTTCATCTCCTGCATCTACGCGTACATGATCTGGAAGAGCGGCCTTCCACTCAACGGTGCTGCTGGCTGCTGTTGCTGCATTTGCATTTGCTAGTTATTTAGTAGCCCAACAACTTTGTAGTAAGGCAACTTTACCTGGAGTCATGGCAGTGGATGTTTTGCAAATTAAAAAGGAGTTGTCATTTAGCACCGAAAAAAGGCCACATTCAAACTTGCCTTTTGCGCTAGAAAAGTTTCCGGCATCCAGAGTGCAGAGTGTTTTCGGAAACTTTCCCTGTACACAACTGCTTGCTGCGAATCACATGTTTTGCCAGGCTTGAAAGCGGAGACTGCTGTTCCAAACTGTACAAAGGTTTGGAAGGAAACGGAGCAAAATGTGGAGCTTTGGAAGCTTTGTTTCCCTGCTGAAGAGTCCCAGCTTGACGCTGGTCACCGCTGTCCGCTTCTATGAACGGCGTCGCTTCATTCGCCGCTTCGGCTATCGGCCTCACTATCACAACCAAGGTAAATGCGACAGATGCCGTTCAGTTTGAGGTTTTTTACAACTTTGTTCCTTTCTAGGTATACTGCCGCGAATCAGGGGCGAAGAGCTGCCGCTGCACTCAATTCCAAATGAGAAAAAGTCCGACCCTTGGCGGGCGAATGCGGTGCTGTTTGGTGAAAATGATTACATCGACATTCTGGGCGACGACCGAATCCATCCCACGCAGACGATGGCTTCGATTCCCGCCTGGCTGCGCAAGTTCAGGGGCAATGAGATGCAGATGCTGATTCGCAAGCGCCAGGCAAAGGCCCACTGGAGATGGTCTCGCCCGCAGAAGTGGACCCACCTGAACAAGCGAATAGACTTTCTCTACAAGCGCCTCAACTACAAAACCGAGCCTCGCAAGCCAGAGTACCCGAGTGGATGGTAGAAGCACACACACACACTTTACATGTTTATTAAATGTATTAGATTACCATAAAATTGAACATAATTTTCAGTTTATAAAATAAGAAGGAAAAAAATCTCTCTCTCGTAAGCGGGGGCTAGCAAAACTTATTTGGAGGCAGCGACTGCGGTGACCACACGAGCTATACTGTCAAACTCGATCTTCTCCTTGATGTTCTTGCTCTTGATCAGCTCCTCCTGGTTGGAGATGTACACAAAGTCGCCCTCCAGCTTCCACTTGTTGCAGTTGATCCAGTAGGTGATCTGCGAGTCGTCCAGTCCGCCGAGCAGCTCGCACAGCGTCGTCTTGTCAATCGTCTGGTAGGTGATCTTCACGACGTGGCAGATGAACTGTCGGATGGCGTCATCGAAGCCGGCAATGCCCAGGTAGACGCCTGGGTCAGTGCGCAGCACCGACCAGAACTGCTTAAAGTCGCAGATCTCCAGCAGCTTGTGCAGCTCCAGAACGTGCTTCAGATCGGGGTTCTTCTCCAGATCCTCCTCCTCGAAGTAGTTCGGGTCGATGAGTCCCTTGCAGAGGATGAAATCGGTCTGCGGCAGAGCGGTGAGCGCCTTCAGCAGGATGTTGATGATCACCTTCTTGTCGATTTTGTTGGTGTTGAACTGGTACAGACGCAGAATGGCCAGGTTCGCCTCCAGGTCGTAGGTGTTCTCGGCACACTGCTCATTCAGGTACTCCTGCAGAACCTCGATGTTGTTGGGGTTGTAGAGCTCAATGCCGATGAGCATGCTGCGGATCTGGGCCTTCTTTGACTCGGACATGATGTCTCGGTTGGGGTGATGGCGGTGGTAAAGCGGGGTCCAAAACACAACAGATATCAAGAACCGGCGATATTTTATTCCAATGTTTGGCTGACAATCAAATCGGCCACGAGCAACGCGGCGGTGAACCCTTCAGAAAGTCTGTTCTTCTTTGAAGGGAGTCATCTAGAGTGCAGAATTACAACCAAGAGCTACATTAGCTCTGCCGACGATTGGGTGTATTTTATTAGCAAACCAACGAGTTTTGCATCAATCTCAAAGTTGCAGATTTGCATTTTTATTCATCTTTGACCAGAAAAAAACAAAAACCTTTCATTTTTCTATTTTTTGTTCAAAACTAACACCCGTGTAACCTCTTCTGTTGACGAGACCAGAGAAGATTCGCCCATGCGCAGAGAAGTGTTGTGATTTTTTTGCTCTTCATTACATTGTCTCAAGCCACACGATTCTGCATCACCTTACAATTCTTAGTCAATTTTTCAATATTTACTCATCAATTAGCACGTTCTTCTTGCGGTAAGTGTTACCTGTAATTTTTCGCTTGATTTTACCAAAGTGAAGTGATGGGAAGAAAGAAGAAGAAGCCTTCTAAGCCGTGGTGCTGGTAAGTGCTGGACGCAAGCTGTGAAAAGGCTATTCTTGTCAACTAACAACAATTCATTCTTCTTCAAGGTACTGTAACCGCGAGTTTGATGATGAGAAGATTCTGATTCAACATCAAAAGGCGAAGCACTTCAAGTGTCACATATGTCACAAAAAGTTGTACACTGGTCCGGGTTTAGCGATACACTGCATGCAAGTGCACAAGGAGACGATAGACAAAATTCCAAATGGGTTGCCTAATCGAAACAATGTTGATATTGAAATCTACGGCATGGAGGGCATTCCGGAAGCGGACCTTCGGCTACACGAAAAGAACAAAGGACCTCCTGAGGTTGCGATGACCTACCAGGAGGCTCCGGCAGTGCCCGCGGCGCCCACGGTACCGAAGCCGATTCTGCCGCCTCCCACCGCGGTCGCTCCGGCCATGCCTGCGGCGCCAAACCTGATGCCGCCCATGGGGTACATTCAACCGCCACCGGTGGGCCATCACTTCGGGGTGATGCCGCCGATGCCTCCCTTTGGAATGCCTCCCCACAACGCCCACCCGTATCCCGGCATGCCGCCCGGAATGCCTCCTCCACCGGGCATGCCACCGGGAATGCCTCCTCCTCCTCCTCCTCCTGGAGGAATGTACCACGGGGCAGTCTCTGGAGCGCCTCAGGGGCCGAATCCCATGCAGGCAGGTGCAGTATCAACATCAGCCCCTACCGCACCGGCCCCACCAAAGCCCCTCTTTCCGTCGGTGGCGGGAAGTTCTGGTGGTTCTGGTGGTGGTGCTACCACAGCAGCAACTTCATCATCTGCTGCCGCAGCTGCATCCTCCTCCACTGCGACGACCTCTTCAGCTGCCTCCAGCTCAACTCACGGGACAATTGTCACCATCACGGCCACCTCGCGCATCGTCCACCCCGAGGAGGACCTGTCGCTGGAGGAGCTGCGTGTTCGCTTGCCTAAGTACAAACACTTAAGCCTGGAGACTGGCCTAAGCTCTCAGTCGGCAAACGGTGCAGGCAGTGCTAACTATGCTCCACCTTTACAGCAACCTCCACCGCCGCCGCCTGCCCTGCAGCAGGCGATGTACCACCGGCCACCGCCGAACATCTACGGTGGACAGCCGCCGGCCTTCATGGGCGGCCTTCCCCCGCCTCATCTGTCACAGTTTCACCAGACTTTTCGGCCTGCATACTAGCGAAGATAGAGAAGGAAGAGAGCACGACCCTGGAACTNACCGCCGCCGCCTGCCCTGCAGCAGGCGATGTACCACCGGCCACCGCCGAACATCTACGGTGGACAGCCGCCGGCCTTCATGGGCGGCCTTCCCCCGCCTCATCTGTCACAGTTTCACCAGACTTTTCGGCCTGCATACTAGCGAAGATAGAGAAGGAAGAGAGCACGACCCTGGAACTGGAACACACTGCAACTGCACTGGTTCTCCGTCTCTTCTGCTAATTCGTACCTTTTATATTCAAAGATAAGTGACTTCTTTATATAACTTCTTCTAGAAACCNACACACTGCAACTGCACTGGTTCTCCGTCTCTTCTGCTAATTCGTACCTTTTTATATTCAAAGATAAGTGACTTCTTTATATAACTTCTTCTAGAAACCTCTTTTTTCATTTTCAACATCAACTATCACCATTTTCTCTCTTTCGCTGACACACTGTAATAAATGAAATTATTGATTTTTCAACTTTTTTAGCCACTTAAAACGGTACTCTTCCCAGTAAGACTACTACTACTACTGTGATCTGGAGGCAATGAAGGCGATGTTTTGAGATTGAGTAATTGCTTTCACAGTAAGTTGGCCACTATTCGCTGTTTCTCTAAAGTTTGCCAATTTGCCAACTCTTTGCGTCCTTCTTCTTTCCCCCTTTTTTCTAGCAGTACTCACAGAAAGAAAGAATACAATGGCCAGTACTGAAGGAATGTGTGTCCATGTCGCGAAACATTCGGACACACAACTACCACCACCAGGTCAGGCAAAGCTTTTTGTTTCTTTTTTTGTTCACTTTTTATTTTGTCACTTGACTCCTATTTAGTAATAATGATAAAACAGTAAAGAGTGTGCTTAGCTTTTCATATGCAACAACAATAATAAAAACGCCATTTTCAAAAGACGCACTCAAGAAGGCATCATCAGTCCCACCATCCTCTCTTTGGTCATCCCCTCAGCCAGCCACTCACTTCCGGACGGTGTCATAGTTTGCCGTGAACCACTTGACCGTCTCGCGAATGCCCTCGCCCATGGGCGTGAACTGAAAGTCAGGCAGGTACCGGCGTAGCTTTCCATTGCTGGCCGTCTTCTTGAACTGCCCGTCGCTGAAGGACTGGTCGTACTGGAGGTCGATCTGGACGCCCGTCTCGGCGCTGAAGGCGTCCGCCACCAGCTGCGCCGCCTCGCCGATGCTCACCTCGTCCTCCTCGCCGACGCTGAGGATGATCGGCTCCACCTCGTCGTAGTGGGCCATCGTCCAGAGGATCAGCTTGGCGAGGTCCAGCGAGTAGATGAACTGCCGCCGCGGTCGGCCGGTGCCGTACACGGTCAGCTTCGTCTGCGTCTGGTCTGGGAATGGTTGAGGAGAAAAGAAGTGTAAACAAAAAGCGAAAAGTACGCGTTTCTGATTACTGAATACTTACTCGTTCGCTTAGCCTCCGCCACCGCCTGGTAGGCCTTGTAGATGAGCCCTGGAATGACGTGCGAGTCCTCGATGTTGAAGTTGTCGTAGGCGCCGTAGACGTTGGTGGGAATGACCGAGGTGAAGATGGGCGCACTTTCAGTTTCAGCAGCATTTGTCTTGAAGTGGTCAGCGTAGGCGTGATTGAGCACGTCGATCATCCGCTTCGCGTACGAGTAGCCAAAGTTGGAGCGGTGGGGAGGGCCCCGGTGGACCATGCTCTCGTCAATTGGATAGGCGGTCTGGTCGGGGAAGATGCAGGTGGAGAGGCAGGAGATGCACTTCTTCACGCGGTGCTCCTTCGCCAGCAGCAGCACGTTGTCGTTGATGGCCAGATTGGTGCGCAGAAACTCGAGGTTGTACTTGAGGTTGCGAANCGCATAGGCGTGATTGAGCACGTCGATCATCCGCTTCGCGTACGAGTAGCCAAAGTTGGAGCGGTGCGGCGGGCCCCGGTGGACCATGCTCTCGTCAATTGGATAGGCGGTCTGGTCGGGGAAGATGCAGGTGGAGAGGCAGGAGATGCACTTCTTCACGCGGTGCTCCTTCGCCAGCAGCAGCACGTTGTCGTTGATGGCCAGATTGGTGCGCAGAAACTCGAGGTTGTACTTGAGGTTGCGAAAGAGCCCGCCCACCATCGCCGCCAGGTGGATGACGTAGGCGGGGCGGACCTTGTCGAACAGCGCCCGCGCCTCGTCCAGCTTCGCCAGGTCGGCGTCCTTGCTGCTGGCGAAGTAGAAGCTAAACTGCTGGCCGTATTCGCCGCTGCTGCTCTCCTCCGCTACGGAGCGAATTGCCTGGCCGACCAGGCCAGAGCCGCCCGTCACCAGAACGACCTCCTTGGTAGGCGAGGATGATGATGACATGACAGTGCTTGATGAGGATGAGGATGAAGCTGCTTCGGCAATGGTTCACTCAAGACTGAAATTGAAGTCCCTGAAATTGAAGTTGAAGAGCAGTGGGTGTTGCGAAAGTGGAATGCTTTCTCCTGCCGCTGAGAGATTCTAATCAGGACCGGTTTGGGCGATCGGCTGCTCAAATGTGATCACCAGTGANGAGACTGAAGTCCCTGAAATTGAAGTTGAAGAGCAGTGGGTGTTGCGAAAGTGGAATGCTTTCTCCTGCCGCTGAGAGATTCTAATCAGGACCGGTTTGGGCGATCGGCTGCTCAAATGTGATCACCAGCGAAGTAACTGCAACTACTGTTTGCCAGAAGCAGTATTTGAACTGGATTGGATATTTCGCTATGCCGAATGCTTATCACCAAATGTCGATAATGTGGCACAGAACAGAAAAGTGCTCAGAAGTGAATGTGCCGGTGCAGCACTGAAGTGCAAATGCAGTGTATATGTGTGTGATGGCAGAGACGATACGGCACTGAAATGTGTGTAGTTGGAAGGCTACTGCGTTTTCCGTTATTTTATCACAAGACAAAACTTTATCATGCAAATCACTAGCGGTGGCGGTGACACTCTTGGGAGGTGATAACCTTCCGCGTCGGAATCGTCGCGCAGAGTTGTCCAACAACAACAGATGTTGACATCAACAAAAGTTAGGTCGCTCGTCCACTACGAGTTGCCCAGTCACATGTTTTGAATTTGGTGTTTTGGTGTTTCAAATCAGGACAGACGACGGGAGATCTTTTTCGGAAGCCTTTTACAGAATTCGGAAATGACCATTGTCCGCCGAGATGATGCTTCTCATACAGCCAACAGCTAATCGTCTGGCGTTTCGCTTTCTCCTTCGTCGATGTTGTAGCACTGGCGGTCACTGTGATGGTCGACGCCGACAGTCGTCGACGACGACGGTCTTTGATGTGGCAAGGACGTTCAAGTCAAAGTTTGACACGTCTTACGTTCCTGGAACGCTGAAGCAGATTGAGCGCAAGTGGAAGGGAAAGGTGGACAGTCACTGGAACTCGGTGACCAGCGCCAGGCAGCAAAAGACGGGCGATGGCAAGGCGAAGTACATTCTCTCGATGTTCCCCTATCCTAGTGGACAGCTTCATTTGGGTGAGTAAAGTGATTGGGTCTCTCTGTATATCTGGCTTTTCTTTCTAACATTTGTCAACATGCCCCACAGGCCACATTCGCATCTACACCACATCGGACATTCTCTTCAAGACCAGCGTCCTCTGCGGCGAGAACACCGTCCACCCGATGGGCTTCGACTCCTTCGGCCTGCCGGCGGAGAACGCCGCCAAGCTGCACAACCAGAGTCCCTTTCGGTGGACGGAGAGCAATGTGGAGCAGATGAAGGGCCAGCTGGCGAACATGGGCTACCACTTTCACTGGCGGGAGATCACCTCCGACCCGGCCTTCTACCGGTGGACGCAGTGGCTCTTCATTCAGCTCTTCAAGGCGGGCCTCGCCTACCAGGGCGTCAGTCAGGTGAACTGGGACCCGGTCGACTGTACGGTCCTGGCGGACGAGCAGGTCGACGCAGAGGGCAGGAGCTGGCGAAGTGGGGCGCCGGTGGAGAAGCGCTTCCACAAGCAGTGGCTGGTGAAGACGAACGCCTTCGCGGACGACCTCTTCAAGGGCGAGGACATTCTCGACACCGGCCACTGGAGCTTCATTCTGGCGACGCAGCGCTGGTGGATCAAGAAGGCCAACGGCTATCTCTTTTACCTTCAGTTCAGCGGCGACGGCGGTGGCAGTGAGACTAAGTGCCAAGTGCTTCAAGTCTTCACCAAGCATCCCGAGCTTTTCCACTCTCCGAAGGCCTTCATCGGCATCTCACAGTCGCACTGGCTGGCCGGCGGTCGTCCGGTGAACAGCCTGGTCGGTCAGATAGCCAACCCCTTCGTCGAGGGTGACCGCCCACTGCTGGACATTCGAGTGGTGGACAGCGGCCTGGTGCCCAAGTCGACGCAGGCGACGCTGCTGGTGCTGCGAGAGGCCTTCGAGGATGAGCCCACCCGCCGGGAGGTGGTCTCGCTGGCGAGGAGCATGGGCCTGGGCGGGTACTTCACCTCGGACACCTACCGCGACTGGCTCATCTCGCGACAGCGCTTCTGGGGCACGCCCATTCCCATCGTCCACTGCCGGCAGTGCGGTCCGGTGCCGGAGCGGGAGGAACGGCTGCCGGTGGTGCTGCCGCACATTGCTGCCGACTACAGCCGCATCGCCGAGTTCCGCTCAGCGGACATTGCCAGTCCGCTGAAGCACTTTGCGCCTGAAGAGTGGTACGTCTTAAGATTGGGTGGCTCGAAAACAGCACAATTTCTAATCCTCTTTTCTAACGCATTCCCCCCCCTACTAGGCTGAAGACAGAGTGCCCCAGCTGCGGCTCCCCGGACGCCCACCGCGAGACGGACACCTGTGACACCTTCTTCGACTCGTCGTGGTACTTTCTCCGCTACTTTGGCCGCCCCGCGTCGGACCGCCCCTTTGCTGATGGGGCCAGCCTCCAGCCCGTCTACTGCTACGTGGGCGGGAAGGAGCACGCCGCGCTGCACCTCTTCTACGCGCGCTTCATCACGCACTTTCTCTACTCGAAGGGCTTCATCGGCTTCCGGGAGCCCTTCCGGACGCTGCTGATGCAGGCCATCGTCAAGGGGCGGACGTACCGGCTGAATGGGCGGTACATCTCCGCAGAGGAGGCGGCCAGGCTGGGGAGCAGCAGCGGCGGCAGGGGAGAGGAGCTCGAGGTGGCCTTCGAGAAGATGTCCAAGTCGAAGGGCACCGGCGTGAACCCCGACGAGCTGGTGGCGGAGTACGGCGCCGACGCCGTCCGCTGGACGATGACCTCGGTGGGCAACCCCGAGTCGGAACGGCTGTGGGCGGACAGTGAGAAGGAGTTCGGGCCGACGCTGGTCTTCTTCCACCGCATACTGCTCACCATTGAGGAGTTCATCGCCGCGAAGAGGGGCGAGGCGAAGCTGAAGACGCTGGCTGAGGCGGACTACCGGAAGGCAGTGGAGAAGCTGTCCGCCTCCACTGACCAGCAGGTCTTCAACGTCCTCTACTCGCTCGCCTCGAGCTACCAAATTCGAAATGGGACCACCACCATTCACCGGCTGACCAACTCGCTCCGCGCAAACATGAACAACAATGTCGTCCTGTCGGCGGAGTTTGAGCGCGGCCTCGCCTCGCTGCTGGTGATGATATCGCCCTTTGTGCCCTGCTTTGCCGCCGAGTGCTGGCAGGCGTTCACGCAGGCCATCGGCAAAGAGGAGGAGGAGGAGGAGAATCGCCTGGCGCGCTTTGGCTTCGACACCAGCAAGAACGTCTACGAACAGGCGTGGCCGAGGGTGATGAACCCGGAGCACCGGTACATTGTCCGCTTCACCTACCGAGATGAGGCGGGAAAGGAGCAGGAGTGCAGCCGAATTACGGTGCCCCTGCGCCAGCTAGGTTCGTGGAGTGAGGAGGAAATTCGCCATTTATTAGCCCCATTTGAGGAGGAGATCGAGTGGATCGACATTGTGAAGCACTGCTCCGTGGTGGTGCGCGTCCGAGATGAACAGGCGGCAAGACAGCTGCTGGGTGAATCGCAGTTTGAAGTGGTCCAGCAGGTGAACAACTAGCTAAACTTATTTGCGTTTCTGTGTGCTGATGTACAGGACTGTTATGGATAACGTAATAAAACTCCACTTTAGTCTGATTTCTCCACTGAATTGTTTTACAAAATGCAATAACATACCATTGTTTCCACGCAGGAAGGCGTCGCCGTACTTTTGCTTGAGCTGTCCATTGACGTACTCCTCCGTCTGCTCCAGGGCAATGTTCAGGTAGCCGTCCAAACAGGCTAACACGCCTGGAAAAGGAAACACGGTTTAGTTTAGTGAGAAAACCACTGTTGCCGCGCTTGTTTACCTCGGTAGTCGACGCCCGAGTTGAGCTTCACCACCACCGGTCGACCGAGGAGCTGCTTTAGGAAGTCATTCGGCGTCTGCTTTCGTGAGCTCATGGTGCTGTTGGTTGAAGGATGGATTGATCTAAAACGGAAAGGATTGGAAAGATTTGGAGATTCCTCTGATTTGAAGCCGCAACTTTGAAGTTTGTTTTCACTTTTCTTTCAGCGTGCCGATTTGCATTCGTCAAAAAAAAGTCCTAGTGCGCATGTCTAATGAGATGGCTGATGGCGGTAAAAAAGGTGAAGTTTTGAAAACTCTCACTCAAAGTGATTTTTTATTTTGTTGAAAAGTTGAAACTAAAAGTTCGATTAAGCTATACTATTAAAACTGGTACTTTCTCCAAGTTGTGAGTAGTCGTTCATTTTTCTCAAGACACACACACAATGTACTTTTTCCTTCTTCAAGTGCTCTCCTATGTTGTTGCAGTCCTCGTGGTGGTCAACGCTGAGAATGCCGCCGAAGAGAATACACTCGATCAAGTAAGTTTGTTCTTGAAAGGAAAGCTAGTCGACGATTACTAACAATATTTTACCCTCCAGCAACTGTTCAATGATCTGCGCCAGGGCACTCGAAGTGTCGTCGCCTTTGGCCACCTGCTCGACGACCGCCTCTTTCTCGTCCTCAGCAGCAGCAGCAGCAACAATAAAGATGATAGTGGTGGTGGTGGCGAGCACAAATCCGCCTTTGATGACTACTACTTCTACGAGGTGCCCAGTGGAAACGTGCAACACCAGGACCGACAACGGATTAGCAGTGTGAAGCTGGTCAATGGAGCCAAGCTTTGCAGCCGATTTCGAAACTTCGGGCAAGTGGTGCCAGCACAGACGCCGATCATGTTTACCTACGCCCTCAACGGCGCCGACTACCTTCTGCTGCTGTTTTCGGTGGTGGGTGAGAAGGAAGTGCTACTGCTGAAGAAGTACCACATCGACACGGGCATCGAGGAGGCGGACAGCAGCGAGCTGGAGCGACTGAAGCTGACCAGCAATCACTTGCCGGTGATGGCGGTGCTGTCCGCCGGCGACTCGCACACAGTGTACGTTCTGCGGAACTTTCCTAGGCTCAACTCAGCGAACTCCGGTCAGTGGCAGTTTACCCTGGTCGAGTACCGCATCACCAAATCACCGGCAGACAGCGAGGACAAGTCGGTGACCATCAACTGCGCTACGAAGAATGAACAGGGCAGCTGCATCGCCAATGTGACCCTCACTGGCGGCTATCATTTTGGAATGACCAGTGCTAATGGAACCTTCTACCTCTTTGCCAGCTCAGTCGGCGGCAAAGGACTGCCTCGGGTGATTGAGTTTACTCTCCGAGCCAGCAGCAGCAGTGGCAACCTTGCCATCAGCACACTGCACCTCGAGGGCTTCTTCAGCCTTCCGGAGCCGTCTCCGAATCCGCCGCACCCACAGCCGCCACCGCCTCCTCCTCCTCCTCCATCCGATGAAGACTCCACGCTGACGGCCATCGTCACAATGATCATCTCTGTCTTTATGGTGGTGAGCTTCTTCACCGTCGGCTGCTTCTTCTACTTCTTCTGGGAGTTTCGGCGCAGCAAGCCGGACCGCCCGCTGACCAGGGGCAACTGGTGCCAGAATCCGGCGACGGTGCTCAGAGATCGAAGACGGCGAAGCTCTTCGGCAGGAAGAAGAGGAGAAAGAGGAAGAGGACGGATGGTGGTCAGCGCGGCCGTGGCCCTGCAGAGAGCCGTCGAAAAGCGGAGAAGGCAGAAGGGCCAGCAACAGCAGCAGGTGACAAAGACCAATTCGAACAAGGCCATTCAGAAGAAGATTAGTGTTCAGAAGGTCGAGCCAAAGGTGGCGGTGACGGCGGCGGCGGCAGCCGCGGACAAGACTTCTGACCTCGAAAAGAGGCGCTGTGAAATAGAGAGTTAGAGGGAAGCTTTACTTTTTGAATATTAAAAAGCGCTGTAGGAAAGAAAAGAGGATTGGGTTAAGAATTTACAGTGTAAGTGAAAAGGAGAACAGTAATAAAGAAAACTGATGGCATATGTTAGGGATCCAAGTGATATGTAGTGATTCCAGTTATCCAAGAGTGGAGCATTACTTGAAGCGATGAACCATTGTTTGATGTCGTTTCACCGAGCTGATATACGGGAACAGTTTCAAGCACAGAGAGCACTGATACTGAATGCCAGTGTGGACCACTTTGTGGTTATTGATGTTCCCCAGATAAGCGGATCGATAGCCGCACACGTCACACTCGTAGCTCATCCCGTAGTGGAAATTAATGTGCCTCTTGAGAGAGCCCTTGTTGGCGAAGAACTCGTCGCAGATCACACACTTATGGAAGCGAAATGTAGGAGACTTCTTTTCTTCAATGTTAGAAGCCGGAATGCCAGGATAGATCGGCAACGGAGGGACACCATAGGAGTGATCATGTTCTAAACCTGTTCGGCAAAAGTGAGGAAGCACAAGCACAAGAGCTGAAAGAGTTAACAGGACTTACCAGCAAGGCTTTGTTCAACTACTTTCTTTGGAACGGGTATCTTAGCCGAAAGCTGATTTAGAAGCATCTGACGATTGAGCTTCTTAATCATTTTAGAAGTGAATGCATAGTTGTGTTCATCGTAAACACTCTTTTGAAGCTTCGCCTGCTCAGCATCAAATTCTTCTGTAGAAGACATTGCCAATCTGAAATTGGAAGAACAAATGTACAAATCGAGTTTCCGGTCAAGCTTCTCAATTNTAGCAGAAAGAGTTAACAGGACTTACCAGCAAGGCTTTGTTCAACTACTTTCTTTGGAACGGGTATCTTGGCCGAAAGCTGATTTAGAAGCATCTGACGATTGAGCTTCTTAATCATTTTAGAAGTGAATGCATAGTTGTGTTCATCGTAAACACTCTTTTGAAGCTTCGCCTGCTCAGCATCAAATTCTTCTGTAGAAGACATTGCCAATCTGAAATTGGAAGAACAAATGTACAAATCGAGTTTCCGGTCAAGCTTCTCAATTACCGGAGCGAGTGAGAGAATAAGTGGCTGATGCCCGCTTGAGTGTTGTCCAAAATGGAAACTTCGGTGAGTGAAAAACTTCAAAGCTGAAGACGCTGTGTTCGTCTTGGCGCAGATTTCATTTCGTCTTGGCGCGCCAGTGACGAAATGAAATCTGCGCCGAAAAAAGAAAAAACATTTCTTTTTGCCCTGAGCGTTTCCGAGGAACTTTCTGCCGAAAAGGAAAACATTGCCGAGAAACATGCGCAGCAAAGCAGGGCGAAGCCAAGCAAACGCACGCACGCTCTGCCACTTTTGCATCATTGCCATCATGCTCCTCACGAGGATAGCACCGGGACGATGTTTTACCTGTTTTCGATGCCGGCATCTCTCCTCCTCCTCACCACTGCCACTCCCACCACTGACAGCTGTCCTGGCTGCCACTACGACCACTACTGTTCGGCCACTCTCCAGTGGCCAGTGGATGGACCGCCACCTGCGTGATCAGTTCGTGAAGAAGGCTCGCTACCACAACTACCGAGCTCGCAGCGCCTTCAAGCTGATCCAAATGGACGACCGGCACCGCCTGCTTCGGCCAGGCATGATCGTCATCGAGTGCGGCGCCGCCCCCGGCTCCTGGACGCAGGTGCTCGTGCAGCGACTGAAGCTGGAGCCGCCCGACTGCTGGCCGACCGGCGCCGTCCTCGCCGTGGACATCCTCAACTTCACCCCGGTGGCGGGCGCCGTCTGCCTGCCCAAAACTGACTTCACCAGCCCGCTCAGTCAGGCGAAGATCCTCAGCGCACTGAACGGCCGCAAGGCGGACCTACTCCTCAGCGACATGGCGCCCAACGTCACCGGGCAGCACTCGCTCGACCACGAGCGCATCCTCAAGCTCGTCTACTCGGCGCTGCAGTTCGCCACCGTCGTGCTGAAGCAGCCAGGCGGCAGCTTCCTCACCAAGATCTTCAACGGCTCACAGACGGACCGGCTGATTGCCCACCTGGAGGGCCACTTCGAGTCGGTCAAACAGGTAAAGCCCCAGGCCAGTCGAGGCGACTCCACTGAGCTGTACCTGTTGGCAGAGAGGTTTAAAGCGCGCCCCTAGATTTGACAGAGTGCTTTCGATTAAATCAGTCACAGTTCGCAATTCGATAGCAGCAATAAGTGAGTTTGTAGAAAATTATATCTGTAATTTAAAACGAAAACAACAAAACAGTGCACACGCTTTCTAAAAGGAGCTTCCTTTAGAATTCCTGAAAGCGAATAGCACTTTGTGATACTACAGTTCATACTATTACAAGAATTTGGCAAATACGCTGCACACCGTACAAGTGCGCATCGTAAGGCGTATCAGGAGCTTTAGGCGAGGGTAAATCAAAACGAGTAAAATAAATATAACAGCAAAATCCAACAAAAAACAGAACACTGAAAGCATTGAAGAGAGAGAAGAGAGAAACATATGTACATTTGAGCAGTTGCCGACAGTTGAATGGGTGTGGCGGTTTGAGAGAGATTGAGAGAGAGAGAGAGAGAGAGAGTACTGAGTGTAAGGCAGCAGTTGATTAATTCGGTTTCAATGGATTGATTAGTTCTTTTGAACCAGTTGCAGTTGCTTGCTTAAAAGCTGTTGTTCTGGGGCGGCGGCAATCGCAGCGCTGTTTTGTAGATGGCCAGTGTGCCGTCACTTAGGGCAAGGGCAAACTTTGACTGCAATGTAGAAAAACAGAGAATTAAAAACACTTTGCAGAACACAAACACACAAAGAGAGAGACTTACCTTCAAGCCGTGAAAAGACAGACACTTGACGTAACGGTTTCTAT